GCTCTATATTAGCGATTATACTTCTAGGCTTTGTAAGCTCAGCCTTCGGATGTTTTTCGTGGGTAGGTTAGTAGCTTGAACAGTTCTGTAATACCCAAAATTTTTGTTAGTGACCAAAACATAAATTTTGAAAGTTTAGTAACCAAAGTACAAAATTAGGAAAAGTATAGGGACCAAAATGGTAATTTTCTCAAAAAGTTTTTTCCCATAAATGAATAGTTCACCCCAATAATGGCATTTTGGTGCTAATCAGGTTTTTGATACGGAATTTGTGTTAAAAGCTAGAAAGTGTTAAATTCTGGTAAAAAATTCGGTAAATCGGATCGAATAGACATTTTGAAAATTTTTGAAGGGCATTAAATCAATATTAGAAATATTATTTACATGTTTTAAAATTATGGAAAATAATATGGATCATTGGATTTGAAGATTTTTTTCATGTTCAATTTGGATCGTTGGATGAAAATGGAAATATTCAAGTTTTTGGAAAGTTGCATGGATAAAATGGTAAAGGGTGAAATATTTTGTCCATATTTGACTTTGGAAAGATGATAAGGGTTATGTGGCTTGGTATGGATGTAAATATAAGGTTTTATTAATAGTAAAATTGCCATTTCCCAATTAAATGAATTTTAAATTCATTTAACATAAATGAATGACAAATTAACATGAAATTAAGCTAAAATTTAGTGTAAGCTTGTTCATCTTCTATACACCAATCCATGAGCCTCCTCCATAAGTGAGAGAATTATATTTCTCATTTTTGAGCAATTTCCTTTGGATTTTGGATCGAACCGTGAAATATAAAATTATTTTATTCAAAAATGCTATCATTTAGTACCATTATTGCATGCTAACTTTGCTTGAGTTCAAAGATCCCAAATTCTAGGGTTTATGTTCATGTTAGGATTTTAGGATTTGATGATAGATTTGTAGGTTATTGAGGTTGTAGAATAGTTTCCAAGCTTGTTTGATGATTAAAACATGTTCAAACCTCCTAGAGATGCTTTTAATCAATTCAACCTAAACCTTATATTGGGGAAATTTTGTGATTTGATGAAATTAAGTTAGGGGTTTGATTGTAGAGGTTTTGAAATGATGAATATAAGTTGATTTCATGCTTGAATCAAGTTAAAATCGTGGATTTACAACCCCTATATGTTTCAGCCTTAAAGAAAGAAATAGGGAAAATTGTGAAAACATTCCTAAGCTTAGAAATAATATTTGGGAGGTTCTACAAGCTTTAGAAAATTAATTGGGACAATTTATAATTTTGTGAAAGTTGGGGGACTATTTGGCAATTATGAAAAGTTATGTGATTAATGTTTAATTGTTTAGTAGTTGTTGTACAATGCTGGAAATTAATGTTAGAATGTGAAATTGGGACACTTTGGAAAGTTGGTAAAAGTTGAGAATTTAAATAACAAATATGGAAGAGTTGGAAACTTAAGTGAAAGTGATATGTGAAGTATGGAAAAATTGATTAAAAAGGAATTGGAATGGTCAACTTAAAGTGATAAAGTCAACATTTATGTTGTGACATGGAAATTGTATCAAGTGAGCATCGAAATGTTTTTAGGAATTTATTTTGTATTGTGTGCATATCTAAGTGAGATTCTAACATGTGGTTAAAATGTATATGTCTTATAATGATGTTCATTTATATTATGATTGAAGTCAAGATCAAGAAAAATTATAGTTAAGGATGAATAAGAATTTCTAAGGAAGGTTTGCAAGCTAAGGACACCATATGAGTGCATTTAATTCGTATTATGTTATCATGAAAACATTGGCTTGCTTTGAGCCAGTAACGGAGTTACCATGGTAAGAAGTGACTCCTAAGTGTTATGTGAATTGTGATTCATACATATATGTTCTTTTGGTAAGCTAATAGAATTAGTGAATAAGCTAAGGTTGTAAACTAGTGAAATTTGTCTATACTTGTGACTTGAATAGTGAGCTTAGAAAATCACCATAAATTCTAAAAAATTATTAGAGGGTGATTTTTATACCATTGGATTCGTATATCAGTATAGTCTTTTAAAACAAACGGGTACTGATTTTGAAGAGTATACAAAAAGATATAAATTTTTAATCAATGATAGGTCAGAAAACAAGACAACAGTTTATGCTCAAAACAACTTCTGTAAGTCAGCTTTGAAAATTCTCTATAAATTGCACAAATGGAACTAGAAGAATTGCCTTATATGGTTATATTCTTATTCGAGTCTAGTTTCCAATGGTATAAGCGGAATAATTTTTTCACGAGTATATTAATGCAGAATAATATTTCTTTGAAGGTAGTGCAAACTTGCAAAATAGGATGTTGTGATAAACTTCGTAATAGAGGAGAGGATAATATAAAGCAAATGATCAAGCTTAAAGCTCAGTGAGGCTTATATTTTTGACTTGTACATAAAGTGTCAAAGTGAATGCATCTTATTATGTGCTTATATGATATGAGGAAGACTTGCGATGAGTCAACCTCAAGTGTTTTTATTAAACATGTTTTGAACGCATTTTGAAATATTTTCATAAAGTTTTATGAAATTGATTTTATCAAATGATTTTAGGGTATGAACTGTCCTAAAATAAATGGATGTGTTTCACACTATTTATTATCTATTGATGTTTTGGAACAAATGTTTAATCTATGATTTGGATATAATAGCCCATTGTATGTACATTGAGAGTCATAGATGCAATTGTAATACCCTGAATAAGGTATTTATGCATTATTGCGTTTTTGTAGTAGTACATTTGTTGTACTATGGCACTATGTGTGCAAGGATAATATTCGTAAGGGACTCCGAAATTGTTAATATAGTGTCGTTGTGTACCAAAGTGCCTATATGTCATTGTAGCACTTAGGTGCTAATTGGGTACCTTGCATTCTCATTTTTCATACATCGGGCTTTGAATGGATTTTGAATACACCGATTGATAAGTATGATATGTATATGAAACAATATTTGGCAGGTTATGTGAAGGAAACTTGGCTTATCGAGTCAGTTTTATGCGTTTATATATTTTATATGATTTAATTTGTATTTTGATCCTTTATGGTTTATTTATGTTGTTAAAATGTTTTACTTAATTTTTTATGTCTCATTAAGTGTATACTTAGCGTGTGATGATTTTCACGCGTAGGTAAAAGAAGAAAGTGGAGTAAGGAGCTGAGTTTAGCATCAATCATCGAAGACTACTTACCAATATGAATAATGACATCCTACTGTTGTTTTAAATTTATAGTTGGCATGTATATACGTAAAAAGAGTTTGTATTGTTTAATATGGGTTAGGACACATGTTATAATAGAAGTATATTTTGTTATTAAGTCGTGTTAATTAAGAAACAAAATTTTACTGGTTTTCGAGTACGAAAAATGTTTTAAAAAGCATGTTACATCTCTTACTCATGTTCCGGACCGTATACGAGAAATGGGTGTTACAAGTTCGTAGAGCACCGTCACAGCAGGACTTCCTGCATCTCCTTTAAAGTATTGTACTGTAGCTTTTAATGGGCATGTGTATTCAAAGAACATTACTTGTGTATTTATTTTGTCAAACAGTGAGAAGTATTATTTTGATTTTAAATTATATGTCACGGAGCTCATGTTTGTAAAATGTTTTAATAATTGTTTTATATGTTGTAAGATACCATTGAGTGTGTTTTAAAAGAAAACGAGCAAGTTTTGAAAATCAATGGTTGTCTTGGTAGCCCAATATGACACTTTAGGCCCATTCGAGTTTAGGGTGTTACAATCCGGATATCTGATTTGAGTATATTATATATTTTACCTAGAATTAATTTCATTTTAGAAAAAACTTGTGAACAAAAAATGTTTAAAACATAGGAAAAAGATTTTCAGTTTGAATTTAAACTTAAAAGCAAAAATATTGGTTATGTGAACCAACTGGCAAGCAAACAAGAGCTTTTTTTAATCAATTTGTTAATAAAAATCATTTCCCTGCTTCTGTCGTCACCCTTGCTTCTATTATCACAAACACCGCAATTTTCTTTAAATCCATAACATTTTACTTCTTCAATCATATTGATTGTAGGAGTCCTTTTCTAGATGATAAAAACGTTCGCTCGCAGATAAATAAGGTTTGAAAGCTTAACGATACTTGTGGTTCAAACACCATTTTTGAACCCCCAAAGTTTCCTTGAGAGCTGAGACTCAGACTAGAAAGTAAAATTGCTATTAATCTTCGAGCAAGAAATCAGCTACAGGCCTGGGGTTCATTTGGGCAAGGGCAATAATAGTTCTCCTTGGCCTCAGATTATCACGTGAAACATATGGCTACTGGACTAGGGCTAAAAGCCCATTTATTTTTCAGATATTTCGGTCAATAAACGACGTATCAACGACAGAAAATGAATAAACGACGTACCAATGAGAGAAAACTAATAGTTTGATATTATAATTCTTTCTAAAAATTATAATAATCGACCAAATATATTACGTTTAATTATATAAAAATACTTAAATTTAATTACCATGTAACTTTTCAAACGTGCTCTTAATAATCAAGTTAAATTTGAACCAATGTTCTACAATATATATCATAACTTTACTCTCGCGACGTAAAATTATAATGTCATCAAATACAAATTCATTTCTCTCATGAACAACAGACGCACATATGAACTTGCAGGATCCTTCAAACAAAGGGGAAGAAAGCCTGAAACCAATTATTTCAAAGACACAAAATTTTGCTTCTTCAAATTTATTTACCGGTCAAAATTGTGGTCAGACAATTTAATAAACTCATCACCGACATCATCAGCCAGCCGCAGCACAGTTGATTCCGATGACAAAGAAAGTTGCACATTCAGATAGGAGAAAAAACAGCAAAGAGTAGGAGGGTGGGTATTAAACTATTAATGTTGTTTCATCCAAGGCAGGCACCATCTAAAATTTCAATTCAATGACTGCTGCAAATTTACACCGAACAGCAAAGTAACACATGATCTTATGGACACCAGGAACCTACTACTTGTTTTCTCTTAACTCGGAAATTTCTACTGCTAGCTCGAAACCCACCCCATAGTAAAGGATGAGAAGAAATAAAATAATAACACCAACAATACATAGTTGATGCATATGTTGTTGGATGCCGGAACACATCAGGGCTTGGGAACTGGTTCTGTCCACTTCCACACTCTAAAACCAGTTCCATCACCAGTGAAAAATAGGCCACCAGGGCCTACCTCAACTGCTCGAATCTCTTTCTTGCCAAAAATTTTACCCTTCTCCGAGAACCTTCAATTCAATCGTAAGGATAGAAAAATGGTACCCCAATACGAAGCATGAAAGAAGCCTAAAATGGTGAAAAAACAATCGATGCATGTAATGGGGTAAAAAGCAAATCCCTAATAACTTACGAGGGCAGGTCATAGAGGTGGACGGAATTGTCAGTGCATGCACACAGCAAAACAGGCTTGGATTCTGAGTCATGCATTCCTAAAGATTCAACAACCCCTAAAAAGAGCAACCAACAGTTCAATAACATCCCAAGATCCTAGGAAGTAAACCGAGGGCGAAAGAGCTAAAAGACATAATCGAAATCATATACTACATGAAAATCTTCCTGAAACTTTTTTGGGAATTAAACCGCCACATAAACAAGAAAACCTAGAGACATTTGCATTTTGCGATATGGTGAGTAAATCTAAGCTTCGACAATGTTTATATCTATAATAGATGCAATGAATATTGAAGATCAATATATCTTGACTCAAAAAATCCTAGAAACTTCACAAAACAGACCTGGCTACACATTAAATTCCATCCTGCATGTAACCATCTTGCAATTTACACCAAACTGTTTAATTACATATGAAACTTGGAAATATTCATTTGATCATTGCATGTTCCTAAACTGTGTTATGATAAAAAAACATGGAGATTAGAGATTATATCTGTACCCTGAAAAGCAGACTCAATACCTACGTCTCAAAATCCTCTCAAAATAAACTATCCTCTTCTCCAGTACAACCATTCTCCCAAAAACTTTGCCCCATAACTTAATGAAAATTAAAATGCAGAGCATAAAACTCTACTTCAAAATCAAAATGCAGAGCATAAAACTCTTTCTAACACGTCAAAGATCAAACAAAGCTAAGTAGTATTCTCTTCCCTCGATCATTATCTTCACTTTCAATAATCACTACCCACAATTACACCCTATTCTCCTGTCACTGACACCTCTAATAACTAACATAAAAAAGCAAAGACAAACGCTGATCTGACATTCAGTTTTTTAGTTTCCCTCATTCTGGCCTCAAACCCCTTTCCTTTTAACTGCTAATTGCATCAAATCAGAAGTAACTTGCGTATTGTATGAAAAAACCACGTACATTTTCTTCATTGTGAGTGTATGTAACTTTCAAGTTTCCATTTTCAGTAGCTACCCACACCTGCACAGAAAAACGTAAATCCAAAGAACTTTAGGCAGAAAAAGGAAACAAATACAAAAGATAAAAATAAATCATAAAAAAACACTAACCTTTATTGTTTGATCCAATGAGCAAGATAAAAGAAATTGCTCCCAGCAAAGCAAGGACATCACAACATTAGTGTGCTCTGTCAAAGTCTGTAGACACTGCAAAGTTTCTAGACTCCAGGCCTGAAAGTAAACAACTAATATATTAGCAAAACTGGTAACTTTCTATGAAAGGGACAGAAAAAAGAAATTAAAGGAATAAAGAAAAAAATGATATAACGGTGGTTTGAAACTATAATACTTATCAATCAGAGATTCAGGATGATTCATACGACCTTACCTTTATAGAATGGTCCATGGAACCAGAGTATAGTCTATTAGCTCCAACAACTAATGATACAACTGCAACGGTGTGGCCCTTAAGCGATGCTGCTGATTCAAAGCTGTTAGTGACAACATTAAATTTCCATACCAAAATAGTACCATCCTGCAATAAACAGATATTGTTGCTTGAGGATTAGAACTGAAGTGCTACAGCAATAGAGATATAGTATTAAATGCTATGAGTATGGCCTAACATTACCCAAAGCGAGATTCACTCAGCAGAAAATCCCCAATTTTGACCTAGTGCTCTTTTAGGAAAAAAAGCTCATTTCACATATTACAGGTCTTTCAAGATAAGTGGCAATTTTATGAGATGATGAATGTTAGACTACCAAAAAGAAAGTTGTCTCAATTAACGAGTTATTGTCTTAAAATAATTTGGCAGAACCCAAAACAGGAAACATGATGGATACATGACTGATCACATGCAGAACATGGAATTTAAATGAAAAGAAAACATAACAACATACTATATATTACCTGTGTGCCAGCAAAGAGCAAATCATTACCCACAACCAAAGTATAAACTTGTCCAGCAGGTCCACTAAGACTGAGCTCTTGGTTAGTTTGGGTGTTCCATGCCTGCAAAATGACTGCCATTGAATCAGAAATGGGAAATCACCGTTCTAATTTCAAATACGAAAGCAGTAATAAAGAGAAACAATTGGTAGAGAATTTGCCTCATATATTACCTTAACAACATTAGGTACGCCAACAAAAAGCCAAGGACCTTCACTGATCATGCAACCTACTTCACCACCAAGATTAAGAACACCTATACACTACATAGAAGGCCGCAGGGAAAATTAGCCAAAAACATAATGATAAAAAACATTGCCAACAAACACTAGCACAAGAAGACTACTTAAAGTAATTTCTAGCAAAAAGATAATCTCGTTTCACTTTCACAGCATAATGAAATAGTGGTACTCTGCATGATCCATTGGGTATTTAGCACTCTAGTGATTCCATAGAAACAAAAATAGTAGCCTTCCAGTTAACTGATCTTTCACATGGACACCACTACCAAGCAGGACAGAATAACATTAAAATTTTCAGAACAGTTTAAAGCAATTGAAATTGATTACAATGCATCAAGTTTGGAGATAAATCGATCTTTTCTTTCCAAAAAGCTAAATACTAAATAAAACTGCATTTTTTATTAAAAATAAACAAATATAATCACCTGACCAGTGTTGGTATCCCAAACCCTCACAGTCTCATCTTTACTCCCTGTATAGAGCTTATCCATACCTGCTGGCAACGCAATTCCAGTAACAACCTGCCAACAAAACAAATTCACCATCATCAACACAATCTCGCACTCCTAAGAATAAGTTATGTTCCAAACTGAAACACAGAAACTTGAATCCCCCCATCTAAAGTAAAAGATTTCTTGTAAGATTTATATGGACTAAGGCTCGCCCACTCTAACAGTTAGCTTTTAGATGTACTTCTCCAAAGGATAAATGGTGAATCCGTTTGTCTTAATTGCAACGTGGAGACGTGATTCCACGTGAAGTTTGTTATTTCTAGTGAGATTCATATGAATGCGGACCCTCACCCTACCCACCTAATAACTAGCATTTGCAGTGTGGTTCTTCAGAAGTTCATATCAAATTAACACCACAAAAGAAAAAAGAAAGGCAAAGGCACTTACTTTCTGGTGTCCATCAAGGTGATTCAACAAGGTAAATTCTTCCCCTAAATTCCAGGAATGTAGAAACTTACACCTATCTCCGTAACTACAGTTCCCTTGCACCCAATAATTGCATACTTTCTCCGTTTTCCTGACCACCTTATTAGCACCCATTCTCCCCCAATTATTATTACGATTATTATTGAAGTTGGGGCCTCGTCGAGGGGTCGGACCCGAAAACCCAGAATCACCGGAGAAACATTTGGGGGCACCCGATCCGTTAGCAACGGCGGATGTGGGGCCCGAAGGATGAGGCAATTCACGGTGCAGGAAAGGGCAAGGGAAACGGCTGCACTTACCGGCCCTCCAATGATAACAAACTTTCTGGTTTTTTGAGGAGTCGGGTGGCAGGGCAGCTGATGGACCTCCTAGTCGGTTAAAGACGCGCCTGTTGCCGCCGTCTAAATCCATAATCGCCTATTTGTTTTTGTATCAGTAACAAAAAAATGAATTGAAACAAGCTTCGGATGAAGGGTCTACAATAGCGACAGGAAATCTCGGTGAGAAAGAATCCGGAAATTAAATCGATCGCCGAAACCCTATATCGATAGTAACCTGTCCCCTTTTCTTGTTTCTATTTGATGATGCAATAACTCGGGGGAGGGGGACAGAGAAAGAGGACCCCTGCGGTGGAGGAAAAGGATTCCTGCGGTGGCTGCCGCCGCCGTTGGGTAGAGGGAGAGAAGGGCGGTGAAAGGAATCAAAACAAAATCGCGTCAGCTTTAATTTTTTGTTCTTTCCGTTCAAAGGCAGCGTCAGTTTTACATTATCAACACTATGTGCACTGTCATAAAAAGAAGGTTCATTCAATTTCTTACTATAGCTCAATTCTTATTTCTCATATAAATTGATCACTTGTGTAGTTAACATTTTTATATATTTATTTGGGTAAACTACACATTTAGTATTTAAGCTATTAGTTTTGGTCCGTTTTAGTACCTAAATTTTTATTTTTCTTAAAATCATACATAACGTTTAGTTTTTATTCTATTTTAGTACCCTCCATTAAAAATTTTATGTGTTTAGTACCTAAACTATTAGTTTTGGTCTGTTTTAATACCTAAACTTTCAATTTTTTCAAAACATAACTTTAAATTTTGAACGGGTTAATAAAATGAAACAAATTTTTTAAAGGTGGGTACTAAAATGAAACAAAAAGTAAACTTTAAGTATACTTTTGAAAATTTGAAAGTTTAGGTACTAAAACATACCAAAACTGATAGTTTATGTAACGGCCTGAATATTGGGTTAGTAGTTCGAGTAAACCCGAGATCCATAATTTAAGCCCAATAGACATATTAGAATATTTTGGGCCTAGTTATGTTGGATTTGGGCTTGAGTTGGGCCTAAGTGATAGAGATGTGGGATGAGTTTTTTAAGGAATAAAAAAAGAGGGACCAAAAGTGAAATTTGCCCATTCTTCAAATCAAGAGCTGAAAACCCCTTTTGTTTATTATAATTCACGTGAACTAACCCGTTATTACTCACCAAATGTTCTTCCTCTTCCTTTCATCTTTTATCTCTTCTTTTTCCTTTCCAAGGTGATTGAAGGTGAAGACTTCAAGAATTTTAAGTTTAGTTGGATTAAACCAAGGTAAAAATATTAATCCTCACCCTTCAAGCTCCAATTTAAGCTTAATATCTCAAGTTTAGGTTTCATAAAATGGGTTTAGGGAGGTTTAAGGGAACCAAATGATTCAAGTTCATTTCTAGTGGATTCAAGCTATAGAGAGTGTTTTTATTTTACATCCAAGCATCTAGTTTAATTAGTAATTCATTTCTTGACTTATTTAGCGAAAGGGGTGGGAGAGAGGTCAAAGTTTAGGGGAAAGAAAAGGTGAACCTTAGTTAATTGGGAGAGATTTTAGCAGTAAAGGAAGCAAGGTAACACATTTACAACTTCTTTATATCACTTATGAGTTATTTAGAGATGCATTCTAATCTTAGAGTTGAGTTATAGAACATTCATGGTAGATTCTATGTTTTATGGTTATTAGTATGTTTAAAGCCTTCTTTATGACTTTTTATATTCCATAAAACATTGGGAACCTCAATAAGACAGTTCGGTAGTATCGATACATATATTGTTCTTATAAGAGGTAAGAAATCAAAGGATTTATGAGGGGTAGTATCGATACCCCTTGAAGGAGTATTGATACTGGGGTCCTGGTTTTGAAACCAAGGAGGTTGGTATCGATACCATTTTTCCAGTGTTTATTTTTTGTATCGGTACTTAAGGGAGTATCGATACCAAGGGTAGAGTATCGATACTCCCCATAAGAGTATCGATACTCCCCATAAGAGTATCGATACTTACCATTTTTACTTCAATATAATTTATTAGTAGAGTATCGATACCCTGGGAGGAGTATCAATACTCGAGGGGGAGTATCGATATCGATGGACTTGGTATTGATACTAGTTTACAATTTTGGACACGAATTTTCAAGGGGTTTTCAAAAGAGATGAGGTTTTCCAAAAGCTCTATAATTACTCTCAAATAAGACTACAAGTGGAAACAAGAATAATGTTTAATTTCAACTAGAAACAAGATCAATTAGGGTGACATAAAATTAGCCTTGATTGAATGCTCAGGAAACGATCATGACACTCGAGTCACTTTAGTAAAAGATACTAGTATCGAGAAATAGAATCAGTCTAGATATCCTTAGGTAGTGCGCGAGGCACTTTAAACTGAATAACTAGGGACGAGGCCTGACACTCGTGAAAGTTGGGTTAGTCGGGGTATTGTGTCCAATTTAGAGATTTTGGGCCTCATCATTAGTAGACTAGAAGGGTGCGTGAGCTCCGAGATGCAGAACCCTCAACCACACCATAGAGTAGAGAGCGCAGTATACGCGTATATTCACTATTGCATTGTACTTAATAGGTTGAGCATGTGATGAACACATTTAGTATGATTTAGTTGTTAGTGTGACACTGGGCTAGTGTGCTTAGCGTTTGGAATTTGTTTCCTTACACAAATTAGTAGGAGGAGCATTCGATGAGCCTTTTGAGCAGCTGAGATCCAGACTGAGTGCAGTAGAGTACGTCTCGAGTTATTCTTTAGAGGACATGTATAATTTGTAGATCCTTTTTGTATATTCGAGTTGTAATTTTATTTAAAACGTTGGTCTGTATATTTTAATGTATTTATTTTGGGAGCTTCCCGATGTAAGATTTATTTATATTTTATGGATGAATTTCTTTGTGCGAAATGATTTTCAAATGTTCGTTTTAATTATCAAATTAAAAGAAAAAATTTTGGGTTAGCCGCTTCGGTGGTTCTGTGTCGCATTCTAATCAGTCGATGATGTGTCGTACTGGTTTAGAGTGTTATTGTTTATCTACAAACGTGTAATTTACCCTTATTTTTTTAATATTTATGTTTTTGTAATTTGAATTCAAATTTTTATAACTTTAAACTTTAGGAGTATATTTTAAAATTTATATACGTTATAGCTAATATATATATATATATAATAATTTTATAGTTAAAAAATGATTAATACAAACAAGATTGGATGTATTGTTCAAGTACATTATATTCTGAATATTACTAAAAATTAGATTATTCAAGGAAATGATAATTATTATTAAACTTATATTCTATATCGATAGTTCATCTCAAACCATTTATATGTATATAATACTTAAATTACTCTCCTATGAAACAATATAATTTTTCCATTTGACAATTTTATAATATGTGATTTTTAAAAGGGCTGCAAAACAAATTTACAATTTTAGGTCTCTCTTTAAATCAAAATATATTATATGGTTCAACGCAAAATATAACTACATTTTCTAATAATCTATTATGATTATAAGGTAATATTTATTTATATATTTTTAATTTGTTAATAAGGTACATATACTCTACAAATATAACTACTAAAATCTAAAAATTATATCCTAATTTGTGAAAAATTTATTTGTGGATAGCTCAATTATATTATCTAAAAGTAAATTTTATTAAATTATACTTGTTATATATTTTTATTTAAATAATTTAAAATTATAAAATCAAATTAAAATATTTACATGAAATTTCATAGGATTATTCATGTCACGTTGTCTAAATTTTACAAATATATATTTAATAAAAATATACTTAACAAATCTATTCATATAATCAGTATATTAAAAATGTTTTAAAAATTGCATAAGTAAATATCTTATATTTACCTTTTTTTTCGTAGTATACAAGTGTCAATAGCAATATTTTTTTCAGCTCCAAGAGTAAGGTAATTCTAAAATTTTGAATTTTAATATGTTCATTATCGAACTAAATTCTGGTAACTTCGTTGTCATAAGCTTATAAGCCAAACTTTCATATGAAAAAAATATTTAATTAATTTATACCTCAATAAATGGACCAATATGGTAAAAAAAACTATTATTACAAGGGTATTTTTTTCTTAAAGGATAAGAATTGAAAATTTCTAAAGAAATCGGTGGAATGACAATATCATAAGCTTACTAAAAAATACTACTATTGGTAATAATATTTGTTCATATGATGTGATAATGACAAATCAAACATGGGAATAAAATTTTGAGAAAAAAATATTTTCTTTAATAAAGGTCTTTCCTGTAAACTAAACGCCCGAAAACAAAGGAACAAATGAAAATCCTTGAATAAGTAAGGGTTCATGCCAGAGTGGATTTCCGAAAATCAAACAAGTTCGTACCCGGAAGAAGCATCACTGATAATATTCTCATTGCCCAAGAAGTGATCCATCTGATGCGCTGCAAGAAAGGCAGGAAGGGGTGGATGACGATCAAAATTGACCTTGAAAAACCGTATGATTGACTTGAGTAGAGTTTTATTGAGGATACCTTGTGTGAAATTAGATTTCCGGTCGAGCTATGTTTCTACTGTGTCTACTCAAGTGATTTAGAATGGTTCTGCAACGGATAGTTTTCGTCAGACAAGAGGAATCAGATAGGGTGTTCCCTTATCCCCATACTTATTTGTTTTATGTATGGAGAGACTTGCCCATGCAATTCAAGATGCGGTTCAAGAAAGGAAATGGAAATCGATCCGATTGAGTAGGAACGGCCCTGAGATCTCTCATTTGTTTTTTGCAGATGATTTAGTGTTATTTGCGGAAGCATCTATGACTCAGGTAGAGATTATTCAAAGGACACTAATGGAGTTTTGTCAGTGTTCCGGACAAAAAGTTAGCCTTGCGAAGACAAACATTTTCTTTTTTAAGAACGTGGAGGGGACGATGAGGAGGAGCATAAAGTAATGGACTCCAGGTTGCATCGGTTGATGACTTGGGAAGATACCTTGGGGTCCCCCTCCGTCGTCGAGTTTCCTACGGTACCTATAGCTACCTAGTTCATAAAGTTCGAGATAGATTGACTGGATGACGGGCTAAGACGTCGTTAGCAGGGAGAATAGTCATGGCAAAATTTGTCCTGTCGGCTCTTCCTAACTATGCAACGCAAACATGTTATTTGCCAAAAAGAATTTGTGATGATATTGAACAATTGATTTGGAATATCATTCGGGGTCACTATGAGAATAAACGTGGAATAAATCTAGTTCTATGGGAGGATGTTTGTCAACCTGTGGATGAAGGAAGGCTTGGAATTAAAGCAATTCGCGACCAAAACGCTGCTTTTCTAATGAAATTAGGGTTTAAACTTATTGCAAATCCTCACCAGTTATGGAGCAAGGTGGTTCGTGCAAAGTACAAATTGCTGGAATTAGTACCAAAGTCTATAACGAGGCATGCTTGCT